AGCCTGCCCCCCGGTCGTCAGCACACAGCCCCTCTCCCTCTCTGAATCTAAAGTCCCCAGCCGCTCCATCTCTCCACGTCATTGTCTCTGCCTCCGTCTCTGACATCACTGCTTCTCTGGGTAGGGTCCTGCTCTCCGTATAAACTGTCTTTTGATGACAAGTATAGCTGGAGCATCTGTTGGAAGGAGGATTAACAGAAGTGCCTTGAACCTGGGAAAGAGATGTTTTTATATATGTGATTGTTGTTAGGTGTCAGTGAGTCGATGTTTGACTAATAATGACCCATGTAATGGAGCAGAACTCCCTCAGAGGGTTCTCTACCATCTAATCTTTGTCAGGAGCAGCAGATCACCAGGTCCCCCTCCCATGGACAAACAGGTTGGGTTTCAACCCCCAACTTTTTGGTTGGCAGTCAAGTGCTTGGCTGGTGCACCACCATTGCTCCTTATAAAAGGGGACGTCAAAAAGTTCATGAAAAATTATTTTCCCACAAACTTTCCGAAGCCCCCTCATGCGTCACTTACAGTATCGAATCACAGTATGATTTCCAATTGAGTCATCTCAGAAGGGTTGCAGAGTCTCATCAGAGGGACAGCAGCTTAAATTTTAGTCTTATTTTAGAAAGGAAGTGTTTGCAGGTCCTGTTGGAGGGACAGAAAGAACAAACCTCAGGGCTGCCATAGGGGACGACACCCCACACCGGCCCCGGGGCTGCCTGCTGGGGTCTGGTCCTAAGCTTTCTAAGGAGAGGAAGCACATTGCTCAGGGCCAGAAGGTGTGAACAGGGCCTGGGCCTCTGAAAGGAAAGGCTGCACTGGGAAAGGCCACTGCTCACTGTTCAGGACAGATTTCCCTCCGACCAGCCATCCACATACCACCGCCGCCTCCTCACTACTGCAGCTGTGAGTGTTCAGCCCCTTGTTACCAGAACATTCCAGAGAAGGCGTCTAAGGTCTCTTCAAGGCCTCTGGAAAAAAGCAGTCTCAAAGGACATTTATATATTTCTTCCTTTTGCAATTTAGCTCTTGCTTTGCACTGGGCGTAACCAAACCAGTTGCCACCAAGTTCAAGTTTGATTCTTAACAGCCCCACGTGACAGAGTAGACCTGCCCCCTACGTCTTCCCCGGCAGTAATCTCTATGGAAGTCTATCACCAAGTCTTCCTCCTTCAGAGTGGCTGGTGGGCTCAAACCACCTTCCTCTCAGTTAGCAGTTCAGCGCATGACCTCTGTGCCACCAAGATTACCTCTCACTGGTGTGACAGGCAGGGCTTCAAACGGGCTCACTCGCTGCTGTCATCATCTAGAGCCACATATGTGTTGCATAGCAACTAAATCGGATGCAGGAAGCAGACAGCTGTGCGGCTCACAGATGGTGGCCAACTGCTTAGCTTTGAATGTGGGTTGCTCTCCAAAGTTCTGCCAATCATCCAATCTCCCGCACCAGGTTCCTGAAACATTCAGCAGGCAGGGCTGTGGCCAGATTTTTGAAGAGCAACGCTTCTGAGGGGACTTTAGAGAACACCCACGTTCAGAGCGGTGTGGTGGGTCACCACCTTTAAGCAGGGCACAGCTGTTTGTTTCCTGTTGTTGTTGTTGTTGTTAGCTTCTGACTCAGCAACCTTGTATAGGGTCTCTAAGGCTGTAAATCCTTACAGGAGCAGAAAGCCTCATCTTTCTCCTGTGGAGTGGCTAGTGGGATTGAACTGCCAACCTGGTTAGCAGTCCAGTGCTTATCCCACAGTGCCACCAGCACACAAGTTTGTTTCCTGTTGTTGTTAGGTGCCTTCCAAGTCGGTACTGACTCATAGCAACACTATGCACAACAGAACAAAACACGGCCGGTCCAGAGCCATCCTCACAATTGCTGCTATGTTAGAGGCCATTGCTGCTACTGCTATGCCAGTCAGACTCCTCGGGGGTCATCCTCATCTTCACTGACCCTTCACTACACGGAGCAGGATGTCCCTCTCCAGGGACTGGTCCCTCCTGATTACATGTCCAAAGCATTAGACGAAGTCTCACCATCCTGCCTTCTAAGCCTCATTCTGGCTCTGTTTCTTCCGAGACAGATTTGTTTGTGCTTTGGGCAGTCCATGATGCTTGTGATATTCTCCTCCAACTGTTACTGATATGCATCAATTCTTCTACAGTCCTCCTTATTCATTACCCAATTTTCACATGCATATAAAGCAAAGGCTGACAGCCTCAGAAACACTATACAAAGTTGCTATGAGTTAGAACTGACTGGATTCAAGGGCACTTAACAACAAATTTTACACTTATTAGATTTGTTTGTAGCCGCAGAATACCAGGTTCAATGATTTCTCCATTGAGGATGCTTAGTTTTAGTAATTTTCTTTTTGTCCCTTAAATACTCTTATCTAAAGAGAATTAGCAATTAGCTCTATTGAGGCCACTTTAGTTCTAAATTAATTAAGTTGGTCCAAAGAATATAATTATAGATGTTCCTGCTAAAAATGGTAGGGGAGCATCCAATTTTTGTCTCTAAGACAATGAACTTCCCCTTTAGGTAAGAATGCACAACTAGGGGTCCTTGGTTGTTTACTCATGAACCCACTGTAGGAGGGGTGCCTAGCAGCCAGACTTGTCCTTAAGAATTTATTTTTCCAACTATTTTGAAGAGCTGAGGAGTCCTGGTGTGACGCCATAGGATAAGCACTGTACCACAAGATTGATTTGAACCACAAGGTGGGCAGTTTAAATTCACCAGCCACTCTTTGGAAACCTTATACAGGCTTCTGAGTCAGAACAATTCTACCCCACAAAACATCCAGCCGCCATGGGTCAGAATCAGTTAGATGCCAACAGGTTTGGTTTGAGTTATGAAATCAACAGTGATGAGATTTATGAAGAGACAAAGGAGCACTTTCCCTCTAAACTGTCACAATGAAAAAGAGCTCTCTTGTAGGGTCTTTGTGTGGCACTGTAGGATAAACACTGGACTGCACGGTCAGTTTGAACCACAAGGTCGGCAGTAAATACTCACCCGCCGCTCCTCAGAAACCTTGTACGGTGTCGCTATGAGTTGGAAATGACTTGATGGTTGTGGTTGTTATGTGCTGCGGAGTCGGTTCCGACTCATAGCGACTCTGCACAGGGTTTCCGAGGCTGTAAATCTTTACGGGAACAGAAAGCCTCATCTTTCTCCCAAGGAACAGCTGGTAGTTTCAAACTGCTGACCCTGAGGTTCACAGCCCGATTCGTAACCACTACGCTACCAGAGCTCCTTTATTTGATGGTACTAAACAACAGTAACATGTAGGATCAGCACTGGACTGCAAACCACAGGGTCAGTAGTTCAAACCCACCAGCTGCTCCTCAGAAACCCTATACAGGGTTGCTATGGGTCAAGTCGGGACCAACTCAACAGCACTTAACAACAACAACATAAAAAGAGGAGGCTCTACTCATGCATCCTCAGACACCTTCAGACCTAAGATGCCTTCTCTAAACAACCAGAGTGTGGCTTCTGCGGTCTTCCTCACTAGCTGCTTTCTACCTTGATGGCTTGGACTGCCGACGTCAACTTCGGTTTCCCATGGCTGTTCTCCTGCTGTGCGAGGTGGGAATCTGTGTGTGGGAGAGGCCAGGACACTTAGACACACCCAAAGTACATCACCAGTATTAACTGCAACATTTCCCATAATATCAAAGTGGTGGAAGCCACCAGGATGTCCATGGAATGGTTGGCTGCGTCAGCACAGCATGGTCTAAGTGCAAATGGACTATCACTCAGTCATAAAGAGAGATGCAGTCCTGGTGCACATCACAACACAGCACGGATGAAACATTATGCAGATAGAAATGATTGCTGCTGTGAAGTGCCATCAAGTCGGTTCCGACTCATAGCAACCCTGTATAGGGCCTCTGAGAAGTGACTGGTGAGTTTGAACTGCCGACCTTGTGGTTCAAAGCAGCCTTGCAGTCCAGCGCTTGATCCTGAAGCACCATAGCAGGCTCTCACTTACATACCGTAAATAAGGGTCATTAGTGGTGACCAGAGGGAGAAGGGGTGGGACCCAATGCAAAAATGTGTTGTAAATGCTAATTCCTAGACTTTGGTTTCTAAGCCCATTTGGGAATGGGTTTTCTTTAGTATGTGAACAAGGCAGTATTCGTGTAGAGAAGAATGTTCTAGGTCCCAAGGACTGCCAGAAGAACAAACCAGTCTGTGTTGGAAGAAGAAGCCGGGATGGCCAGACTCCGACTCTCACACACCGGACACGTCAGATGAGGTTGGGATTGGCATAGTGGCAGCAGCGATGGGCTCAAGTGCAGCAGTAATTGTGAGGCTGGGGCAATTACTGTCGTACTTCGTCCTGTCGTACACAGGGTTGCTATAGCTTGGAATCCGACTCCACGTCACCTAACAACAACGGTGTGGTGTAATGAATATTCAAATGGCTCTTCTAGCCTTGGCCTGTGACTCTTGGTCTGGGTAAGAGAAGATGGGACAATATACTAACAGGGTGACATGATTTAGCTGTGGGTGCTAGCAAGCAGAGTCAACTTTAATTGTAAAAACTTAAAACTCTCACCTGAGTGTAAAATGAACCTTCTCAGAAGCAGGAGGGGGTGAAACTCACGACTCTCAAAGTCAAAGAGCCAGGAGTAGAGCATGTCCTTTGAACCCCAGGATCCCTGCTAGGTAAAGTGGAGGGTCCATGTAAAGAGGGAGACCCCTGGTGTGATGGATCGGCACTGTGGCAGCGGCGGTGGGCTCACGAGTGCCTGTTACTATGAGGATGGAGGATGACACAGGACCAGGTGGTGTTTTCGCTCTGTTGTACCAAGGGTTGTTATAGGTCGGAATTGACTCGACGGCACCAAACTACAACAACAGCAAAGTAACCATGATTCTCTAAGCTGTGGAGAGATGGTGCCCTTGTCTGGGGAAGGAAAGGGGGCTGAGAGCCTTCCTCTTAAGAGCGTTGTTAAGCAGTGGGAAGGGAGAGGATGCCAGAGGCTGGGCACCCTCAGAGAGACACAGGGGAGCTGTCCTCACCCAGGGACACCAGGTGGCTGTAGTTCTCCAGCATCACGTCCCGGTACAGGGCCTTCAGAGCAGGGGTCAGGAGCTGCCACTCCTCCCAGGTGAACTTCACAGCCACGTCACTGAACGTCAGTGAGTCCTGTAAGAGCAGGGTCTTGTTTAATTCAAGTTCCCTCCTCTAGTGACAGGAAAACAAAAAGTAAAGTAAAGAGACCTGCTCATTTTCACCATATAGGCCGAGTCTCTGTATCTAGGAAGGAGCCCTGGTAGTGCAAGTGGCTAAGCGCTCAGCTGCCAACAGAAAGATTGGAGGTTGGAACCCACCCAACAGCCCTTCTGGGAGAAGACCTAGCTATCTGCTTCCTGTGGAGTCCTGGTGTGGCGCTGTAGGATCAGCACTGGACAGCTAACCACAAGGTTGGCGGTTCAAACCCACCAGCCCCCCTTAGAGACCTGATACAGGGTTGCTATAAGTTGGAACCTATTCAGTGTCACTTAATAACAACAACAACATCTGTTTCCTGTGCAGCAATTCTGCTCTGTCACATGGGGTCATTGAGTTGAAATCGACTCAATGGCACCAAATACCATCCATGTATCTAGGTGCTGTTGCCAGCAATGCAAGTCCTCACCAGACATCTGTACTTCCAACACCCTGCTGCTAAATCAAAGAGTCAAACAGTTAAGCACTCAGCTACTCGCCACTGCAAGGTTAGTCGTTCAGACTCACCCAGAGGAGCCTCTGAAGCCAGGCCTAGAAATCTGTTTCCAAAAGACCACAGCCATGGAAATGACCCCGGGGCAGTTCTCTTCCAGGTCAGAAGTAACCATATGGCAACTACCAACAACAACTGCCAAATCTGTACTCAAACACCAATTCGTCCGCTGATGTGGAGAACTTTTGAAACTCTCGTGGTTCCTCTGTTTCCTGAGACCATTTAGGCTTTCTTCCCAGATTAATCCAGACCACACCGGCACCGGCGGTCACCTGGCAGCAGTCCCCTGGAGAACTGTGTCCACTGAGTTCTGCTTGGTCTGTTCCCACAGGGACTCAAGTAACCGTGTACAAAACAGCCACAAGAACCCTATTCACATATTTAGGACTACACCACCAAGCACATCGCCAGGCTTTTCTTCCGCAGTGCCGTTGGGTGGGTTCAAACCGGCAAAGTTTAGGTTAGTAGTCCAACACAACTTGCATCACCCACAGAGCCTCCTGAGACTTCAATGCTAAGAAATACTGCATCCTCAGAGAAACACGCCCACTTCTCCTCCAAGTTATCCTGATTCTGGCTCTGATGGCTGTCAGAGATATCAGAAACAAGTTGGCGGTTACTATAACCCCCCAGGGTCCTGTATAGTCACAGAACCGTGGATTGAATGGTGTTCCCCTAAAATATGTGTCAACCTGGCTGAGCCATAGTACTCAGTAGTTTGGTCGTTAGGTAATGATGTAATGCAATGATGTCATCGCCCCCATGATGCAGTTATGCAAAACCAGCCCTGGTCTGATGTCATTCTCCCCTGTGTTGTAAATTCTCACTATTCTGACGATCAGGAGGCCAGATGCACTCTACCAGACTAGGTATCTCTTGAGTCAATCTCTTTTGAGATATAAAAGAGATTAAACAAGCACGCTGAGCTCAGAGGGACCTACTATGACCAAGAAAGAAGCGCCAGAAGTGGACTGTAGCCTTTGGACCTGGGGTCCTTTGCACTGTGACTCATCTTGATTCAGGGGAAGATAAGTACCAAGACACGTGAAGATCTTCAAGGAATGCTGAGCCAGTAGATGCAGAAAGGAGACAAGGATCTTTCCCCAGAGCCGACAAAGAGAGCCTCCCCCTGGAGCCAGCATTCTGAGTTTGGACTTGTACCTTCCTAAACTGTGACAGAATAAATTTCTGTTTGTTAACACCCTCCCCTTGTGGTATTCCTGATGTATCAGCACGAGAGAACAAAGAACATTGGTCACAGCATAGTAGGAACCCTGTCAGCTACAGATTCCTGGTCCTACTTGTCCTGATGGCAAAGGAAGAAAAATTTCAAACACAGAAACAAGCTGTCGTTAAACTGATTCATGTGGCCCCATGTGTGTCAGAGTTGAACTGCTCCCAAGGGTTTTCGAGGCTGTGACCTTTCAGAAGCAGATCACTAGGTCTATCTTCCAAGGCAACTCTGGGAGGGCTCGAACCACCAACCTTCTCACAGTTAGGCACCTGTGCCACCCAGGGACTCTGTTGAAGGAACAGTCTAAGTTTGTTTCTCTCCAGGCCCATTTTTCCCAATTTATACTTTTCATTTAATTGAGAAGATTGTGTAAGGCTTCCAAAACTCCATCAGGGAATACAATGAAGAATTAGATACACCTGGCGCTTGGTCATTTTCTTTTGTTCTTGGGAAATGGCTTAGAAGTGCGACCTCTATCTTTATTTAGTCTTTTCTAGATCTGTCTTAAATTTCTACTCAGAAGTCTTACAGTGTGGTCAAGGGTACCCCAAGAAAGGACACCACCTGAGTCCTGGGTCCTCGCCCTCCTTCCTGCCCTCAAACTCTGTTGTTCCTAGGAAACCACAGAGGCCTGTGGCTTGGGACAAACTCATTTTCTTTCCTTTTAGAAAAAAAAATACTTCATTGTGTTTTCAGTGAAGGTTTAAACAAGAGTTTTGTTTGGGAAAGGGGGAATTTTGGGTTTATTGATGACAGCCTATTGGTGGCAGAACCTGGGAGGAAAGTCCTACGTACGTTTAAATGGTTCTAGAAGAAATCTCTGCGGGATCGCTGTGAGTCAGAACTGACTCCATGGCTTCTAACAGCAACAAAGAAGAAATCTCAGTTTTATCGAAAGGTTGCCACTGGTAGCACAGTGGATATGAATCAGACTGCTAACCTCAGGGTCAGCAGTTCGAAACTACCAGCTGTTCCGTGAGAGACAGATGAGGCTTTCTGCTCCTGTAAAGATTTGCAGCCTCAGAAACCCTGTGCAGGTTCGCTATGGGTCGGAACCGACTCCATAGCACACAGCCACCAACAACAACCTTACAAAGGACTCCTGGTGTGGTGCTGTGGGTTAATGTACTGTACTGGAAAATCAGTTTGAACTGCAAGGTTGAAGGTTCAAGTTCATCAGTCGCTCCTTGGAAACCCTACACAGGGTCGCTATGGGTCAGAACCGACTCAAAGGCACTTAACAATAACGTTACACAGCGCTCCTGGTGTGGCACTGTGGGATAATGCGCTGGACTGCAAAGTCAGTTTGAACCACAAGGTCGGCAGTTCAAGTTCACCAGCAGCAACTCTGAAAGCCTATACAGGGTAGCAGCTATGGGTAGAAACCCACTAGACAGCTCTTAACAAAGTCAAATATTACAACAAAATCTGCAAAGATCTGGAACTAGAAAACCAAAAGGGAAGAACACACTCAGCAGTTCTCAAGCTGGGGGAACTGAAGAAAAAATTCAAGCCTCAACTTTCGTTATTGAAGGATTCTCTGGGCAAATGATTGAATGATGCAGAAAGCATCCAGAGAAGATGGAAGGAATACACAGAGTCACTGCACCAAAAGGAAATGGCCAATGGTCAACTGTTTCAAGAGATTGCATATGATCAAGAGCCAGTGATACTGAAGGAGAAATCCAAGGTGCATTGAAGGAATTGGCAAAGTACAAGGCACCAGGAATTGATGGAATACAAATTGAAAACTTGCAAGAAAGTGAGGCAGTACTGGAGGCAGTCACTCATCTATGCCAAGAAATTTGGAAGACAACT